GCTCCCCCAAGGCTCTAAGGCAAGCTTTGACCTCTGAGTCGTCTGTGGAAACATTGATTTGCCGGGCTCGCTTCCTTCTCTCAAACTCGGCTAATACTTCAGCTTGTCGTTCACTGATGTGCTCTTCAATTTCAAACACTTCTCCTACAAAGAGAACAAGCAACGCAAGCATAATCACCAGATATTCTTCAAATAGGAAAAAAGAAGTAACTTCTTACAACTGGAGTCTGTGTATGCCCTTAGCGAAAGTTAACTGTCTAATCTATTACATACTTGGTTTACTTTTTCTCAATTTATCAACTTACGCACAGACAGAAAACTAAATGACACAGCTTTAAAAGGCAGCAAAATAGTTCAAGTCATCTTGTTTCATTTGGCAATCTTACACCTACATACACCTATATAAACACGTAGCTTAGATGAGAAGAGAAAGTAAAGAGTATGGCACATCTTTAGCAAATGAGTTAACCAGTCTTCTATCCAGGAGATAAAACAGAAATATTATTTTAACAACTGCCAAAGCTATTGTCTTATACAGTCTCAGTATGAAAACACTTAAAAATGAAACTAGTAAAGTAGAAATAATTACCATGAAAATGATATACCTTGATTATAAGGCTTTTCGGTTAATCTAGCAGCTAGTTAAAAAACCCACACCAAATACAAGCATTTGGTTGAAAGGGGTAAGTATAGTGGTGATGCAGTTATGTTTTAAAAAGCATAAAAGGTTAAAAAAGTCACTAACATGCATGTGTATAGAAAAAAATGTGTGAGAGGAACAATGAGAAACTTGACAGAAGTCCCTTCTGCAAAGAAGTCTTTTCATTTTATACCCTTCTGTACTCTTTGAATTTCTAATTACAAACATGTACGGCTTTATTTTAAAAATATAGTAGACTGCAAGCGACTGACACGAAAGAGTCCTAATAGTACATAGCATGAAAAATGCATGTTACAAAATAATTTGCATATCATGGCTTCGTTTATGGGAAAAAAATTATTTTTATAGCTTTATTAAATTTTCTAAAAGATATAGACCCAATTAATAAAGATTAAAGGTTTATCTACTTCACACATTTCTACAATGATTTTTTTTCAAAATAAAAATAACTAATATCTTTCTAACTTAAAAACGTATTTCATTTTGGGAGAAAAATAATTGGAAACTAAAAACAGGAGAATATTAAAAACCATAGTAATTCTAAACCAATGCCAGAACTGTGCTAGATTTCCAAAAGACAAATGGAATCAATCTGAATCCAAATACAATGACCCTTGAATGATGTAGTGGAGGGAGTGTCAATCCCCTGTGCAGTTTAAAATCCACACAGAACTTTTGACTTCTCCCAAAACTTACTAACAGCTTACTGCTGACTAGAAGCCTTACCAGTAAGTCGATTAAGACATACTTTGTACATGTTTTCTTAAAGGAGGCTGGACAAAAAAAAATGTTAAGAAAATCATAAGGAAAATACATTTATTTAAGACATATTTTGTACATGTATTATATACTGTTTCCTTAAAGGAGGCTGGACAAAAAAAGAATGTTAAGAAAATCATAAGGAAAATACATTTACAGTATTTACTGAAAAAAATCTGTGTATAAATGGACCCACACAGTTCAAACCCGTATTGTTCGAGGGTCAGTTATACACACTAAATAAATTCCTGGTAAAATCACTAACAATTCATGGAAGAAAAACTGTTTAAAAGCTTTTAAGCAAAAAGGCTCTCTGGATGATGCTAAACAGGGTGGGCAAAGTATGGCCATATGTAGATGTAAGTTTAAAAACAAACATTTTGGCAGTATAAAACTAGTGATATTTAAGTTTAGGAAGGTATTCACTGCAGAAAATTTGAGCACCAAAGATAAAGATGGACGCACAATTTGCATCTTACCAGAGGTTATGTTAATATTTCCTGCTTCAATTCCTGCTTTAAGTCCTTCTTTTCCCAAAATCCCAGACTCTCCTTTGGCCAGACGCTCCCTCTCCTTCTCTTCCAAACTTCCATAATAAATGTGTGGTTTCTTCACAACAGGAGCGACTAAGTCATCAGGTGCCTTAGTTTTGGTTGCCTGCTGAATCAAAGACCTGGATTAACCTAAGGCTTAATCTTTGCGATTTACTAGGCTTCCCCAGAGGACCAAGGTCATTATGGGCTTCAATTCTATTTCCTCCCCAAAGGAAAGGACAAGGAGGGCACCAATTAAGATGCGTCTTCACTGATGGGGGTTGGGTTGGGGGTGTTGTCGCTCAGACAAGAAAGAGGTTGACAGGTTGGTAAAACTACTTAATTTCTCTAGATGATTCTTCTATCAAACGTTTGCTTTGATTCATTCGGTTGGAAGTGCAATTTCTTCTTGGGTTTTACAAAACTTCCAGGGTTATAGCTCATCACAGAGGAAATATAAAGGATAACTGAAATTACCAATGCCAACGGGTAACACGTTACACAGTTACCAGTCTACACATTTCCAACGTTTTAAGACGAGAGGCACTGCACAGGACATGCCTCTCGTATTAAATTAATTGTAATTGTAATTAAGAGGCCTCATTATAATTAAGAGACCTGATATAAACGTAAGTCTTAACCAGGACACTACTCTCTTTCAGAGCTCCATTTTTGGACCAGTCCGAAGACGTCTTTACAGTTCGCGGGTGTACGCGAGATGCAAACGAGCTTAAAGCACATGAAAGCTCTTAGGAATAAGGAAAATGCTGCTCGGGAAAAGACAAGACTGAATCTCATGGCCTTCCTCTTCAGCCCCGCCACCGCCTTAGCCCGTCCCCTAACGGCTCCATTCCGCAGGGGCCTCCCCAACCCCCTCGGCGCTCCCCAGGGAGAGCTCAGATCTGTACCGTGGAAGTGGCTCGTGAGGTAGCCATGCTGGGATCCGGAGCCGCGAAGATCCAGCAAAGCCGAGCTCTAAGTTTCAGACAATTCACCGCGCGCCGAGCAAAGCGGAACTACGTCACCGACCGGAAGTGATTCGAGAGTGACGCAACGTCCAGGGAGGCGTGGAGCACGATGGGAATTGTAGTAGGAACGATTGTGGGCGCGTCGAGAGGTTTGACCCTCGGAGAAACGCACGCGAAGGTCGAGGTTCCGCGAAGAGACAGGCTCAGAGCAGTCTGGGAAGTGTAGTTTAGTTGGCTTACATTCATGGTAGGTATCGTGCTTCCGGGAACCGGGGCTGAGCAGGATTGAAAAGAGGTAGGAGGGTCGAGTCGCGCGACTCTGGGCTAAACTCCTGAGCGAATCGAGGGCTTCTGGGGCCTGCAGGCTCTTCTGGCCTTACAAGCGGTTTACGTTGTCTTGGAGCCGGGGACCATGTTGCCATGGAAGCCGTTGCTCTGAACTCACGAGTGCTGCCCTGGAGCTGTGGTGGGATTGCTGTTCTCTGCTGTCGGGAGGTGCTCTCCTCGGGGCTTCTCTCTAAGCTTGGTGAATTTAAGGTGGATTTGGGCAGCAACAAGAAATTAAGCTTAAAGAGCCCTCTAGCACCAAAGTAAAGACCTGGAGGAGCCACGGCCTGATTTTATTGTTTTCAGCCCCTTCTTTGTATCAGATTCTGAATGAGATTATGGATGCGAGGCGTCAGGTACACGCAGACAACTCTGGCATGGCCTCGTTGTCCTCTGGGTGCTGGGGAATCGGAGATAAACAAGACAAGGTTTTTGCCCTCGTGGTGGGGGCTGGAGATGCTGAAAATATTGGTGTTTCCCGCTCCTCTCTGCAAGAACAGTTACAATAAAAATGGCTGTTATTTATTGAGCGTTTACTAAATGCCAAGTTATATTCCAGGAACTTACTCTGCATTACGTCATTCAGTGCAAACAAAAACAGTATAAATACGGAAACTAAGAACTAGTGAAAGATGATGCTAATTGTTCAAGGTAAGCAGTGGATGGTATTAGAACTTCTGCCCTCTAGTCTCCAGAGCAAGCACTTTTTACCCATTACCCTATACTGCTTCCTGGTGGCTAGCTTTTCAATTTGCACGAAAGTTAAGAGTGCAAAGCAGTGTTTTTCTTTTAAGCATCTCTCTCCGCGAACGTACCATTTATCTACATTGGAATCAAAATAGTATCTTATTTAGTACAGAGCAATTTGAAATGTGATGTGGTTTTATGTTGGTTTGATAATATCACCTGTATCTATCCCAAGATTCATGGGAGAGAGAAGGAAACATTTCCTTTGTATATGTCGCAGTCCTATATACATCCTAGATACATGTAATAATAATGATAATAATAATGATAATAGATAAAGGAGCTTTCACGTATTCCCATTTATTATCACAGGGTTTCTGTGTTATAAAGAATGGGAATGCAAAAGCATAGCACAGTGCTCAAGTAAAGCTCATTTCACTTTATTTTGGATCTCTGGTTTATTCATCAAAACATTTACTGCCTGGTTATATTTACACTCTACTGGATGCTGTTGAGAATATAAAGATTATGACATCTACAGATTTTAAACTTGGGGAATTTTATTTTTTCCTCCAAAAAATGTTTTTTCTTAGCATAAGCATTACCTGGGTTTTCCGACTGGTGTGTTTTCTTGAGCCACTTTTCATCCTTCTCTCTGCGTGGAATAATACCCTTACTTCCCTTTCTCTGCCTGCCCTTCACAACTTAACTAAGACATCGTCTCCTCCAGGAAGTCTTTCATGTCCCTGTCCACCCCATGCTCAGCCCAGAGTGGATTGGGCCTGTGTGATGCCATTACATTATCCTCATCGGAGTTCTTAGAACACTATATGAAATTTTCTGTCTCCACAGACTGTGGCTGTTATCTTTTAACTCTGCAGCTGGAGCACAAGAAGTGTTTGTTTAATGAAGGACCTATCCATTTAGGACCGTTTTAGACTGTGAGGATAATCCTGTGAATAGGTGAGTTAGAGGGAGTTTCACAAGATTTAGTAAACTGATTTTAGCACTCAAGAGTTATCACATATAGCTCATAATTCTCATGTAGAGTTGATCAAATTTAATGGCTTGTGTATTTGCCCACTAACACTACTGAATTAAGATGTGATATTTTAACGTTATTCTCTTAGCTAGAATATGTCTTTGTGACTGTAGCATGAGAGTAAAGTGATTGTTGCTTAGAATTTTCTTTCATATGCAGCTTGCTATTTTAAGTTTTTGAAGAAAGAGTTTTTTGGAAATACAGAGTGGTGGATCTCCATCATGTAATAAAAATGTAATATTCAGACACCTAAAGACTTAGAAGTCTATGTGTGAATCCAGATGAGTCTTCTGCATTGCTATTCATTTTAGTGTGCATTTTTACAAAGTGATCTTATATTTGTAGCTGAGATTTATCTCCTTCAGTTTTTCCTCTTCTCTGCCATTTTTAACAGTTAATAGTTCACCGGGTTTGGTCCTTAGTGTCGACTTCAGTATGCTGCGACGAAAACCAACCCGTCTGGAGCTGAAGCTTGATGACATTGAGGAGTTTGAGAACATCCGAAAAGACCTGGAGGTAAGAGTACAACTTTCAAAGCCTTAGGAATATTTAAAACAACTCTGACTTTCGAACTTCAGACTCTTATACCAACAGCTTATTTGAAATCTCTATCTAGATGCTTTATAGGCAGCTCCAATTTAATGCATTAGTTTCCTGTGGCTGCTGTAACAGATTACCACAAACTTGGTGGTTTAAGACAACAGAAATGTATTCTTTCACATATCTATAGGCCAGAAATCTGAAATCAGTATCATTGGACCAAAATCAGGGTGTTGATAGGACCATGCTCCTTTCAGAGCCTCTAGGGGAGAATCTATTCCTTGACTCTTCCAGCTTCTGGTGGCTGCTGGCATTGCTTGACTTGTGGCCACATCACTCATATCTCTGCCTCCATGATCACACTGCTTTCTCTTCCCATGTCTGTGAGATCTCCCTCTGCCCTTTCTTATAAGGATACATGTGATAGCATTGAGGGCCCAATCAGATAATCCAAGATAATGCCCCCATCTCAAGATCCTTAATTTAATCACATCTACAAAGGATCCTTTTCCCATATAAGACTACGTTTACAGATTCCTGGGATAGCTTTGGGGGACATTATTCAGCCTACTACACTTAACATTTTAAAACCAAAAACTCTTGATTTCTTCCTCAAGCCAGTTTCACCTCAGTGTTCCCCATGTCATTATCTATGCAGTTGCCCAAGCCAGAAACCTAGGAGTCACCACTGAGTTCTTCCTTTCTTCCACCCTTTGTATACTAACCCTTTGATTCTACCTTTAGAACCATCCATACCTTTTTATCTACATAGTTATAACCCTAGTCCAAATAACCATCACATTTCTCTGTACAATTTCGGTAGCTTCCTCAGTGGTCTTTCTTCTTCCATTTTTGTTTCTTTAATCCATTCTCCATCAGATACCTAGAATGATCTTTAACAATTTTAAGATCATGTCATTCCTCTGCTTAAAATTCTTTAATGGTTTGTCGCACTGAGAATAAAATCTCAATTCCTTGTCATGGCCTACAAGGTTGTGTATGTCCTGGCTCCTTTCAGTTTTCACTTCTTGTCACGCGCCGCCTTGCCCTCTGTACCCCCCAGACACACTGGCTTTCTTACATTTCCTCGAACATGCAAAACTATCACTCATGGCCTTTGCACGTATTATTTTCCTTTGCCTGGAGTGCTTTCTCTTTCTTTATGTCTCAGTTTAAATGTCACTTCCTCAGTCTGAGAGGCCTTTTCTGACCCTGCCCATGTTGGGTGTGTCATTCTTATCCATGCTGTCTCCATCCCATTAGGGTCTCTCAAAGCACTTTATTCTTTGATTCTGTAGCATTTATTGTAATTTACAATGATTTGCTTGTTTATTGTAAAACCATTTACATTAGGAACCTTGATTATAGAAATCATGTCTGTCTTCACTGTTGCATCTGGTACGTAGTTGGAGCTTAGTATGTATTTTTAGGTGTAGCCTTACCCCACATTAATAAAATTCTTCAGTGGCCTTCAGAATAAAGTTCAAATTCCTTAGGGTGGCATACAAGGCCTTTTGTGACCTGGTCCTTGCTCATCCACTTTATCTTCCACTCTTGAGTTATCTTAACTTTAATCTTTAGTGCCTGTTGCACACTCTGTCCCCTTTACCTGAAATGCCTTTGCCTTTCTTTGCCAGGCTAACTCCTACTCATCTTTTGACTTAGCTCCTTCCAGAAGTCTTCTTTGACTACCTGCCCTTGGCTGGGTTAGGTTCAGCCTCTTCCCCCTGTGCTGACCTCTCTCATAGGTACTAATACTCTCTGTTGTAATTTTCTGTTTTTCTGCTCCCCATCCTCCATATGCTCCTTAAAGGCAGGAATTAGTATATTCTTCTTTGCATCCATTCTCTGCAATACCAGGCCCAACAAGCGCTCAGTACAAGTCTATTTTAATTTGCCATCTTAGTAGATATTTTTTACTGTATGATAGAGGACATTACATCTTGTACACATCATGAACATGATGGCTTTACAGTGTATTGTATATGCTTCTTATTAAGAAAGATAACCTGGATTTCTTTTCCCTCTTCCTCACTCCAGGAGACTTTAGTGTTCTCTACGCTTTATAATATTTATGCTTTTTAAAAGCTCATATTAATAGTCTCATTAAGGATGAATGTTAATATGGTTAAAGTTCAGTTGTAATGAGTGTCAAAAGTGCTAACATACGGAAGGAACTCTTATTCTGCAGACAGCTCACTATTGCATTAGTCTCTCTACTGAAGGCAGTTATCCAGTGGGTTTGACTTGTTTTAGAGCAGCTTAGGAG